GTAATGCACTTATAAGTCTGCGATCCGCCGTAAAGCAAGAAGAAGAAAAAGACGCGTCACGCGCCGGCTGTCGAGGTGCTCAGGACAGTTCAGACATTGCAGTGAATCAGAGGTAAAAAAACTATATAAATACTGTTCAGTTTCTTGCACAGACCGATTGTTTAGTGTATTTACACATCAATGTATCGTCACGAGCCACAGGGTTTAATTTGGTTTTATTTGTGTATGTTTTTTTTTTCTATCAAAGCCGTGATTCCCATTCAGTTCCATTATAAGACTGACAGACTGCAACGGTTTGACTTTAAAATCTTTGTTTGTGTTCTACTGAAGAAATAAAGTCACGTACATGGATGCCCTGGGGGTAAGCAGATAAACATCACATTTTCATTTTTGGGTAAACTATCTCTTTAATCCAGAAGTAATAACAATCACCACTAGATGGCAGTACTTACTTTTTTACTTTATTAAGGTCAAGCCATTCTTTACTGTGGCTGTTGATTTATTGTCACAATTGCCCCATTAGGTTATTCTAAAGTCCTCAATTTAAAGTTGTTTCTTAAACAGCATGTCACTCAGTAGTTCTAATTTTACCATCTAAATGGGAAGTTGTAAAGCTGCTTTTGATCTGCTGTACCTGCAGTTTGAGACCTCTGGTAACGCAGCTTTCTGTGCCCTGACTTTTGAGCTCTACAACTCCTGTGCTTTCATAGTCATTTGCTGAGCGCGGGGTGAAGATGACTCTGGAAGGAAGATTAAGTTTCTTCCTTTCAGATTCAACCTTGATAGAGTATTGCACTTCTAAAGAAGGGGGGAAAAAAGACAAAGCAATAACAAAATGTTGGCATTTGTTTACAGAGATAAGATCCTGCATGACAGAGATGAACAATTACTGAGTAGTAACCTGTGAAGGTAAATTAGAAACATGTACTTACTCAGTGTAGGATTGTAGGTTTTGGGTTTGACTGAAAATTTGAAGCAGGCTTTCACATCAAGGCTAGAACACACAATAAAACCTCGCTTTTAGATGGGGGTTACTGGCTATTGGCTAATATTATAAGGATTGCTTGTTTTGTTTGTAGTTTTCTCACCATATATTTTCTCCACAGTTTTTCTTAGTGAGGTCTAGCTCTTTTGGAGTGGTGGTAACAGTCTTTTCAATGCTGATAACTGACCGTGCCCTATAGTGTAAGACCCATACTTAATACATTCAGTCATTCATCCATATCGCTAAATGAATACTAGATTTTGTAGATATTTTACACCATTTAATATTAAATTAAATGAAATTATTTGTATAATAATATTCATAAACAATATAATTGTTTATAAAGTATCCTTAATAATCATAACAGGTTGTTTATCAGTATGATCATACCTGTACACAAACACTGAATCAGAGAGAGATCCGATAGCCAGATCAGGGTAATTATTTCTGTCCAAATCCATGTTCCCAGCAAGAGAGTATCCAAAGAGTTTCACATTGTGATCTTTTCCTCCAAGAACCTGAAATCATTGAAAAGGAATGAATAAAACAATGAATGAATACTGAAGCAAAACCGAAAGAAAAGAAAAGTGAATATATGGCTAAACCTGGGCTTTTTTCAGGCCTTGAGGTGAACCATGGAAGATATATACGTTTCCAGCTTCATTACTGTCATATGGGGCACCAACAGCAACATCTGAAAATCAGCAGGATTACATTAAGAAAATTAACTACGTATTACATTCAAATATTATTGTGGTTATCACCATTATCATAGAAATGTTTCAATGTTTCCTACTATTTGATGTATGCTATGGCATGTTTTCTCCTCTATGCATCTTTCCTTGAACCTGTTGGTTCTGGATGTTTTTCATTAGCTCTATTCATAGAAGAGACTACATAGTAAACACATACCATCATAACCATCCAGGTTCACATCTCCCATGTTTTCCACAGCCAAACCAAACATGGAATAAGCAGCTCCCTCAATTTTCTTGGGGGTGATCTTGTCCCAAGCTCCTTCCTTGTTAAGATAAACATAGATGGCCCCACCGATATCACCGTCCTTAATAAAGAACTGAGGTGCTCCGACTACAATGTCCTGCCACCTGTTTTAAAAATCAGTTCAGAATAATCAACATCTAGTGTTGCTATTAGTAACTAAAACTAAAACTATTATTTTTTTACTTGAAATAAAGCTGTAATAAAATAAAATAAAATAAAAGTATATTTTAGTATTATATATAATACTAAAGTATCACTGATCAAATAAAGTGACATGACATGTGGCCAGGTATGGTGTCCCATACTCGGAATTTGCATTTATCCCATCCAAGTGCACACACACAGCAGTGAGCAGTGAACAAACACACACACACACACCGTGAATACACCCGGAGCAGTGGGCAGCTATTTTGCTGCGATAATATATAATATGTGACCCTGGACCACAAAACCAGTCTTAAGTCGCTAGGGTATATTTGTAGCAATAGCCAAAAAAACATTGTATGGGTAAAAATTATTGATTTTTCTTTTATGCCAAAAATCATTAGGATATTAAGTAAAGATCACGTTCCATGAAGATATTTTGTAAATTTCCTACTGTAAATATATCAAAATGTAATTTTTGATTAGTAATATGCATTGCTAAGAACTTAATTTGGACAACTTTAAAGGCGATTTTCTCAGTACTGTGATTTTTTTGCACCCTCAGAATCCAGATTTTCAAATAGTTGTATCTCGGACAAATATTGTCTAAAATATAGTTTATAACAAACCATACATCAATGGAAAGCTTATTTATTCAGCTTTCAGATGATGTATAAATATCAATTTCAAAAAATTTACTTTTATTTTTGTGGTCCAGGGTCACATATAATTGATTAATACAATACAATACAATACAATACAATACAATACAATACAATACAATACAATATAATATAATATAATATAATATAATATAATATAATATAATATAATATAATATAATATAATATAATATAATATAATATAATATAATATAATATAATATAATATAATATAATATAATATAATATAATATAATATAATATAATATAATAATTATGTTGTACTGGATCTTACCCATCTCCATTGATGTCAAGCACTGCAAGATCATAGCCAAAGGAAGAGGCAAGTCCGGCACCCTCTAGGATGTACTCAGCTGTCAACATGTATGATTTAACTTCGTCCTTCTTTAATAGCACAACTGCCCCACTGTGATTGGCTCTTGGAGCCCCTGCAACTATAGTCAACTGACCTCTCTTGGTCAGCATTTTTCCAGAGTCCAGAGAGAAACCTGAATAATAAGAATGCAATGATAAAACCCATGAACAGCATCAATGAAAAACATGCATGATTCTGACTGACTTGGACACTCGTAGACTCGTAGTACATAGTTTTGCTCAGGCAATGTGGATGTAAACAAGATACCAACACAAAGACAGCTTCAAAACAATATTGTAATATTGTAGTTCACATTTGTTCACAAAAAGGACACAATGTATAGGATGTATAAAGACCAAAATGATGACAGGTTGAACGTGAATAATTGATCAAATTGGCGTCCAAGAAATCCCACAAACCTAAATAGCTATTGGATGCCACATCATAAACGTTCTCCTTTGCCACCTGAATGGGAGGTGACTGAAGGCTACTGGATATGCTTGTCATGAAAAATAAATGACTAAACAATAAGCACAAACAACCAAAAAGACCTAAAAAGGAGTAAAACCACACAAAGGGTAAGAGTGGCAATCTATATCTATGCTTTGTATCCAAACTCTGCTGGAAAAGTTTATATATCCTAATCACACCAGAATTCTTTAGGGAGACTGAGTCACATGGTGGATCAAGGAGGGAATGAAATAGATGATGAATGGGATGTTATGTGATGATGGACTCACCTAAATAACTGTTAGCAAAGTCAAGTCGGCTCTCGTCCCCAACTTCATATGGGCCGTCATCAAAGCTAGTCTCTTCCCACAGAGAGCTGTTCTTCTGCTCCATCCGCACCACTCCTGACATCCATCCAGTGGAGGAGTGAGTGAACAAGGAAAGGAAAAGGGTGAAGGGTTGAGGATGGAGAAAGTGAATGAGTGAAGCAAAGATGCCAGAAAAAAAGAAAATCTGATGTATTAACATGTCATGATGGTGCAAAAATTGAGTGATGTGGGGAATTATGGTCTTGTTTGACAGTGGCCATTGTGATTGACCTTCTCACTACAACTTTAAATATTCTCGCAAAAATGAGATTTACCATGAAATTTACCAAAATCTCACCTACACTTCAATACACACATACATACAAGCACTCTAATTCATCAATACCTTTCCAGTTGTAAGCACCCGGCGCTCCAAACACCAGATAGTGACGGTCCTTTGTGAATGTGGCAGATAGACCCTGCTGGCATGATCCAAAGCGCTCGTGTCCTCTGTTTCTCCCATTACAGAACATCCAGGCTCCTCCATCTTCATCTGAGGCATGATTAATCGTTAGGTCCTCACTTAGTACGTAGCAACGACCTGTCAAGTCACGCAGCTCCTGAGCTGAGTCCACAAACATGCGTCGCTGGTAGCGATGCGCACAGATCCAGGGTCACATATAATTGATTAATACAATACAATACAATACAATACAATACAATACAATACAATACAATACAATATAATATAATATAATATAATATAATATAATAATTATGTTGTACTGGATCTTACCCATCTCCATTGATGTCAAGCACTGCAAGATCATAGCCAAAGGAAGAGGCAAGTCCGGCACCCTCTAGGATGTACTCAGCTGTCAACATGTATGATTTAACTTCGTCCTTCTTTAATAGCACAACTGCCCCACTGTGATTGGCTCTTGGAGCCCCTGCAACTATAGTCAACTGACCTCTCTTGGTCAGCATTTTTCCAGAGTCCAGAGAGAAACCTGAATAATAAGAATGCAATGATAAAACCCATGAACAGCATCAATGAAAAACATGCATGATTCTGACTGACTTGGACACTCGTAGTATGTAGTATCATAGTTTTGCTCAGGCAATGTGGATGTAAACAAGATACCAACACAAAGACAGCTTCAAAACAATATTGTAGCAACAATATTCACATTTGTTCACAAAAAGGACACAATGTATAGGATGTATAAAGACCAAAATGATGACAGGTTGAACGTGAATAATTGATCAAATTGGCGTCCAAGAAATCCCACAAACCTAAATAGCTATTGGATGCCACATCATAAACGTTCTCCTTTGCCACCTGAATGGGAGGTGACTGAAGGCTACTGGATATGCTTGTCATGAAAAATAAATGACTAAACAATAAGCACAAACAACCAAAAAGACCTAAAAAGGAGTAAAACCACACAAAGGGTAAGAGTGGCAATCTATATCTATGCTTTGTATCCAAACTCTGCTGGAAAAGTTTATATATCCTAATCACACCAGAATTCTTTAGGGAGACTGAGTCACATGGTGGATCAAGGAGGGAATGAAATAGATGATGAATGGGATGTTATGTGATGATGGACTCACCTAAATAACTGTTAGCAAAGTCAAGTCGGCTCTCGTCCCCAACTTCATATGGGCCGTCATCAAAGCTAGTCTCTTCCCACAGAGAGCTGTTCTTCTGCTCCATCCGCACCACTCCTGACATCCATCCAGTGGAGGAGTGAGTGAACAAGGAAAGGAAAAGGGTGAAGGGTTGAGGATGGAGAAAGTGAATGAGTGAAGCAAAGATGCCAGAAAAAAAGAAAATCTGATGTATTAACATGTCATGATGGTGCAAAAATTGAGTGATGTGGGGAATTATGGTCTTGTTTGACAGTGGCCATTGTGATTGACCTTCTCACTACAACTTTAAATATTCTCGCAAAAATGAGATTTACCATGAAATTTACCAAAATCTCACCTACACTTCAATACACACATACATACAAGCACTCTAATTCATCAATACCTTTCCAGTTGTAAGCACCCGGCGCTCCAAACACCAGATAGTGACGGTCCTTTGTGAATGTGGCAGATAGACCCTGCTGGCATGATCCAAAGCGCTCGTGTCCTCTGTTTCTCCCATTACAGAACATCCAGGCTCCTCCATCTTCATCTGAGGCATGATTAATCGTTAGGTCCTCACTTAGTACGTAGCAACGACCTGTCAAGTCACGCAGCTCCTGAGCTGAGTCCACAAACATGCGTCGCTGGTAGCGATGCGCACAGACCTGGAGAGAGACAGCGGGAGTTCCATTTAAATCAGTCAAATAATTAGCATAAAACTGTAAAATAATTCAATAAAAATGAAATAATAATAATATATAATAAAAACAATAATAAATAAAAACTTTTTTGCAAGGATATTTCATCTATACACTAACGTTCAAAAAGTAAGGGGTCTGTAAGATTTTTTTATGTTTTTTTTGCAACTCTCTTTTCTTCATCAAGGCTGCGTTTATTTGATAAAAAATACAGTAAAAGTATTGTGAAATGTTATTACAGTCTAAAAAAACATTATTCTATTTTAATATATTTTAAAATTTAAGCTTACTAAATATAATTTATTTGAAATAAAAAGCTTCTATACATTTTGATCAATTTAATTTGTCCTTGCTGGATCAAATGTAATTTTAAAATATATTACTGACCTCAAAACATTTTTCTCCTAATTTTTACATTTAGATTACCTTGGCTGTCATCTTATTTTCACACACTGTACATCATAATTCCTAAATTCACTAAACTCATTTAGATTAAATAGTGTAGAATTTTTATATTCTGCACCACTTCCCATTTATCGGTTATCGGCTATAATATTAAAATAATTATTGGCCAGAATTTTGATAACAGTGCATCCATAATATGAGCACACACGCGCACACACACATACACACACACACACACACACACACACACACACACACTCTCTCTCTCTCTCACACACCCTTACCAGTATCTTTCCTCCAGGTCCCTGGCTCTGTACAGTAACTCCCATCCACTGGTTTTGCTTATTTTCAGCTGCCAGATTTTCTACATATGCACAATAAAAATGCCTCACTTAACACATGCAGTAACTCATCATAATGTGTCTTACTTTCATGTGTTTGAGTTTACCTTCATTGTCAAACATCACTCGTTGACATGACTGACTCAGAGAATTTATGTCACAGTTGTACATGCCTCCCGTAATTGTTGACTTATGCCCGGGCAATGCTCTAGCCCTTGGGGAACCAACAAGCAACCTGTAAACCAACAAACAGAAATGTATTCATGGATTTGCAATATATTGAATTTCATATTACAAATCTGATATGATATTTGACTCCCCCTCTTACGCTAACGCAGCTCCAAATAACACAAATACATCATGTGTAAATAGTGTTTTAATATGTTTTTCAGTGAGAAAAATGAATTTTTGGGAAACGTGGTCAGCAATGTGGTCAGAATCGTGGTCATAATAGTCCTAATAAATTGCAGATCTGTTTACACTCTTTTAAACTACATCAGTCAGCAGTTGCACACACAATAAATCACTTATGAATGGATTAAATGGATTTTGTAAATGGATATTTGTTTATTACATGGCGATAGCATGTGTAACAGTGATTGTGAATAAGTAAATGGCTCAAAACATTGCTAGCAGTCATCTCTAGCATCTTCAGCATTTTATTATTATCTTCTCTTTCTCCATACATGGGTCTTCAGTAGGATCCTCAGTGGAAACAATGCAGATTCAACAGTCCACACAGAAAATAAGACATTCCCTGGACACACTACTTGTGCACTGTGTATTAGAGAGTGGGGGCAAGTCTTCTGTACACTCTTTCTATTCTTTCAACTCAAGAGAATATATTTTCTCTTCTGAATAAAAGAAATTTAGGCCACAGAAAACCTAGGATATCCACCAACAATGGCTATATCTCTGGTTTCACTTAATTTATGAGAGTGAAAGACTCTTTTCTTTTCATTGGATTGACTGGTTCAGCGATAACATTCATCCCAACACTTCACAGATTTTAGCCACAAAAGCTCTCTTTGTGGGCATAGACAAAAATAATCTGACTGGAGCAAAGCCTACATTTCCCACAATACCCTCGCCAAAAATGTTGAAGGAAGAGTAAAAGTATTTGGCAATGTCCTAGAACTCTTCAGAGGCAGTTTTACTTTTAGGGGTACAGCAGCTTGTTATGGTACTTAATACTTTACTTTTTACTTCATCTATCCCTTAAAAGGTGCATATTAGTAGCTTAGAGTAGTAATATGTATCCTCAGTGTACAACACTGAACCTTTTAGGGGGAAATATGGTACAGCGATGTCCCTTAAAGCAGCACTGTAACTTTTTCTGTGTACAAAATTTCCTAAATGTATATAATGAGCGAGTACATCATGAATTCATCTTCCAAACCGCGTTTTTGTCTTATTCCGAATCACTACGGTACACTTATAATAAGTACTTATATTTGGACTATTGTAGCCTGGTCGGGTCGTCACCGCTGCGGAGTAACACATACCTGCGTGAATCGCCAGAGACTTAAAC